TATCGGGTGAATACAAAATTTTTAATGCAAAGGTTGAAAAACATATGGTAGATAATCCCAAGGAATTTTGGAGGTATGTGAATTTGAAAAAAGGCAGTAGTAACATCCCGTCCACAATGACATATGACAAATCTCTGATATCAGGTCCAAAAAATATTGCTGATGCTTTTGCAACATATTTTCAATCGGTTTTCAATCCACCTTCAAATTTCAGTGGTGATGGACCAGATATTTGTAGTGGAGTGTTACACATTCCTAACATAACTGAAAACGAAATCAGTGCAGCCTTGGAAAAATTGAAACGTAAAAATACCGCTGGTCCAGACAGAATTCCATCTATTTTCTTAAAAGACTGTTCTCCCACATTGGTAAAGCCGTTGTTTATCTTGTTCAATAAAATCTTAACAGGTGGTGTAATTCCGAAGTTGTGGAAGATTTCTAAAATTGTTCCGATATTGAAGAAGGGTGATCGTAAGGCTATCGAAAACTATCGACCAATTGCTTTAATAAATAACTTCGCTAAAATCTTTGAAATGGTGATTTTTAATAACATTTATTTTCACTTAAAAAGTAATATTTCTGAAAACCAACATGGATTTATGCATGGCAGGTCTACAGTGACAAATTTAGTGTCTTTAACTCAATTCCTAAGCGAGTCAATTGATGAGGGCGGTCAGACGGACGTCATTTACATGGACTTTTCGAAAGCCTTTGACAAAATAAGTCACAATATTTTGTTGTATAAACTTGGTGTCATTGGATTCTCACCAGCGCTACTTAAGGTTTTTCACTCTTATCTTTGTGCTAGGAAACAGTTTGTCTATTGCAGTGGATGCTCATCAAAGGATGTATTTCCAACTTCTGGAGTGCCACAGGGGTCGGTGCTGGGGCCACTTCTATTTTCCGTGTTTATCAATGATATAAGTCACATCCTGAATGTTGATTATTTACTATATGCGGACGATTTAAAAATATTCACAAAAGTGAAGTCATCGGCAGATTGTGTAAAGTTACATGGCAACCTAAATCAAGTCTTAAATTGGTGCAAAGTTAATGAATTGCCAGTCAATAAAACAAAATGCTACGTTATGTCCTTCTCTAAAATGAAAAATTCTATCTATTTTGATTACAGCATATTAGGTGAGTTAGTCTCTAGACCGAACATTGTTCATGACTTAGGAGTTAAGTTTGACAGTAAATTGTCTTTTAATGCTCACTTCGATTATGTAGTCTCTGCGTGCTTTAGGTCCCTTGGTTACATACTCAGAAATTCAAAGGATTTTGTGAATACAAAGACGTTAATTTCACTTTTTATTGCACTGGTAAGAACCAAAATGGAATACGCAAATGTGGTCTGGTTCCCCTACTATAATATACATATAAACAATATTGAAAAGGTGCAGCGTAGGTTCCTTAAATATCTGTATTTTAGAGAGGAGAGAACGTATCCTCCGGTTGGATTTCCACAAATTATACTTTTGGAGAGATATTCTATGACAGCATTAGAAAACCGTAATAAATTATTTTTGGCAGTCACTATTTATAAGGTTGTTAATAACAGATTAGATTGTCATGACATATTGAGAAGAATATGTTTTAATGGAAGTCCTAGATTACTTATATCTAGAAAACCGGAGTTATTTGCGTTACCAACACCTCGAACAAATGTTCTGAAGTTTTCACCAGTGTACAGATTGTGTTACATAGGTAACTGGCTTAACCGTCAGGTAGATATTTTTAATACAAATATGTGTACCATTAAGAAATTAAAGTTTGAATCGGTTTGAATTAAACAGAAATATATTCCATAAATGGGGTTCGCCCTGTCGAATATATAAGAATAATAATAATAATAATAATAATAATTTTGCTCTTGACTGCCTTGATCGTGCCGAAACCTTAGCAGTTCGATCCGATACCCTCGACGATATTGAAAACGAAGAAAGCCGAGTTTGTAGTTTATATGGGGAGACAATGTTTGAAGAAGGTTTGGATTATGAACAAAGAGAACACTCAGAAATGGCCCAACAAAAATTTGACAAAGCCGAGTCCTTGTTACGACGATCATTGACATTAGAAAGCAGTAGGGAAACTCAACAGAAGTTGCGTTTAGTCGAATTGAAAATTAATGGTAATAAGAGTTTGCGGCAAGCAATGGAGTTAGAAAATCAAGCCTGGGAGATGAGCGAGAACAAACAATATAAAGAGGCTTTGAATATTTACCTTGCCGCGCTTACTACATACAAAAATGTTAAAGAACAGTATTTAGAAGGTGCTAGGTATCGACAACAGTACTTCTCTAATTCCGTAAACATGGTGAACGAACAGATCAGACAAGTAGAGGCCACTATCAAAAAGACTACACAACAGCAACAGAATGAACAAGCTAAAGCATTGATGAAGAAAGTCAAAGAAGCAATGAAGCAACGATTATACAATTTAGCGCTTGAACACCTTGAGGGTGCCAAAAAATTAGCAAATCAGTCGGATACACTTGAGAACATTAAGAACGAGGAAAGTCGGATTTGTAGTTTGTACGGGGTGACGCTGTTCGAAGAAGGTTTGGACTGGGAACAGAAAGAACATTCAGAAATGGCGGAAAGTAAATTTGCCAAAGCAGAATCTTTGTTTCAACGATCGCTGAGGTTGGTGAACAGTAGTGAAACTCGACAGAAGTTGCGTCTGGTCGAGTTGAAAATTAATGGCTGTAAGGGTTTAAGCCAAGGTGTAACGTTGGAAAATCAAGCTATGGTGATGAGCAACGACAAAGAATATGAATTGGCGTTGAATAAGTATCATGCGGCTCTCACCATATACCAAGAGGTTAGAGACAAGTATTTAGAAGGTGCCAAAAATCGCAAAAGCTATTTCTCCAATTCTTTAAATGGCGTAAATAAAAAAATCGAACAAGTAGAAGCCGCAATCGAACACACTACAAAACAACAACACAATGAAGAAGCGAAAGCATTGATAAAGGAAGCTAAAAAAGCGACGAAGCAACAGTTGTATGACTTTGCGCTTGAACATCTTAAGGGTGCTAAAAGTGTAGCAAATCAACCGGATACACTTACGACGATCAGAAATGAAGAAAGTACAGTTTGTAACTTGTATGGTAAATCTGTGTTTGTAGAGGGTTTGAAGTTAGATACAGAAGGACACTCAGAACGAGCACAAAGTAAATTTAAAAGAGCAAAAACTTTTTTCCAAAGAGCAGCGAAATTGGTGAGCAATAAAGAGCTTCAGCAGAATTTGCAACTCGTCGATTTGAAGCTTAGCGGAATCAAAAGTTTCGCCGAAGCTGTCACATTAAAAGACGAAGGTGTTGAAATGATTAAAAAGGAAGATTATGACTCTGCGTTGGATAAGTATGTTTCAGCTTTAGCTAAATGTAAAGAAGCTAAAGAAAAATATATGGAAGGTGCCGGTTGCCGAAAAGAATATTTCTCTAATTCTGTAGAACTGATAAATCAGCAAATTAAACAAATTACAGTTACCATTAGAAACACCGAAGCACAGATGCGGGATGCAAACGCCAAAGAACTTACAGAAAAAGCTAAAACAGCAAGAAGTCAAAATTTCTATGACGTCGCTCTCAAACTTCTTAGTCAAGCTAAATTATCGGCAAATCAAACTACGATGACCAGCATAAGAAAAGAAGAAAGTGAAGTTTGTTGTTTGTATGGGACAATGTTGTTTGAGGAAGGTCTGGATTCGGAGAAAGGAGGATATGTGGAACAAGCAAAAATAAGATTTCATAAAGCGAAATCCTTGTTACAGCGGGGGATGAAATTGGTAGATTGTGAAGAAACAAAAAGGAAGCTACATCTTGTCGAATTGAAGATCGGTGGAGATAAGAAATTTAACAAAGCTGTGGAGTTCGACAACGAAGCTTCTTTATGTCAACATGATGAACTATATAAGGAGGCTTTAGATCAATACGACGCCGTTTTGGGTAAATATAAAGAAGCTAAAGAAGACTACGTGGAAGGTGCCAAACACGAGGAAGAATATTTTGCACGCTCCGTGAAAATCGCGGATGCACAGATCGAGAGAGTTGAAGATACCGTAAATGAGATAAATAGTGTGCAGATGTTGCAAGGTCAAATCAGTGGGCCTAGAATCGATAACAGAACAAGTGAGACGGTAGAAGATGATAAGGAGGAAGTTGAATCTAAGTTGCAAAATACATTTATTCAACGTTAAATTGATAACGTATTGTAGAATTTGTTGTGATGTATTTTAATAAAATGTCTTTTGTTTTGGTTGTTGTTATTTGGTTTACTCATTTTCGACGTTTGAATGACGATATCCACGTTCATTCAACCTTTAATAAAAGAACTTCGAAATACTTTGAAAACTATAGTAATGTGTACATGGTCCATTTTGCCCTCTCTCTGCAGAAACGCTGCTGATACTATCGACGATATTTGATCAAAACTAATGAAGTCAGTCGAACCCCTGCTGGAACAGCTTTCGAATATTGTCAAAGATTGTCAGAGTTCTTACATACTTAGAACTATCCGTGTGAAAAGCATCTGCGAACGCTTGGCTAAAGTTGTTGTTAAGTTACAAAAGTATTTCGAGGAGGTTCGTTTGACTGCTGAACTGAAGAATTTAACCAAAGTTAACCAAACTGAAAGTAACACGAGTCGAGTTACTTTTGGACTTCACGATAAAAACCGGCATGAAAATCGTGAAGCACCATGCTCTTCACAACAACGTTGTATAACCTAGAGAAAATTAAGTTTTTGAGAAGCTGTTTAATGGGATTATGAAAGAACTACGAAACTCGGTTGATAAGAACAACGATTTGAGGTTGAACCTTCTCACAGCACAAAGAAAAGACGTAGACAAAGCTGTAGAGAAATTGTTAAACGGAACCGAGTTTAAGACTGTAGTGGGCACAATTTACTCAAAATTGTCAGAAAAGTTTGATGTTGTGTCTTTCAACCAAATTCTATTTTCAGCAGCAGCAATTTTCTAATCTAAGGAATCGCAAATCTGGCAAACATTGTCTGTCTTATATATAATTTTGCGTTTAAAATTGAGGAACGTCTTTCCATTGAAGAAGAAAACCACGATATTGACGAAGTAATTGAAGAAATTTGTTTGGATGTTGCAATTGCGATTCGTGATTGCTTGAAAAATGCTTATGAAAATATGTCAGACTTTGTGGGTAATATACAAGCAGTGATGAAGAAAAAGAAGATGTTTGTGGAAGAGTTGGAGAAACAATTGTCTTACCTGAAAACTAGGTCGAAATCATATTTGTAATTGTATGTGCTTTTGTATTCTACTTTTGGCGACATTTTATAGACAGTTTTACTGTATTCCAGGTGTATATACCATCTCCATCTAGAACCAACTCTGATTAGGGAGGAATCCGCGATAATAGTTTGACAGAAATTTTTTTAATTATTTGTAATATCACTGCGCTGTCGCCAAGTTCGTAGACGAATGATGAATGAATTTGGAAATCGAAAAATGAAATACTTACAAATCCATTCTAGGTTGTCCATTTCTTCCAACTCCTCGTTAAATACATTTGCAGAACTATCTATATTTACAACATCCGGCTTAGAGGCTGTTAAGTAAAGAATTTCTGTAACACGCCAAATTGGGTGTGCCCATAAATGAAGTCTTGGAAAAACCCGTCCGCATTACTGGAAAAGGTCGGTACTTATTTACTTGCATACTGCCAATAACCAACTGTGTTAAAATTGTATTAAAATTAAGATTCTCACCAATTACCACGAAAAATGCAGCAAAAATTTTAAAATATGCTTTTTGCATATTATCCGAGCTTTAATTATTATTAGTGTACAGATAATGGAAGGTCAAGTTAGTGGGCTCAGAATAAATAGCAAAAAATAGGGGTGGTGGAAGGTGAAAAGGAGGAAGTTGAATCTAAGTTGTATTCAACGTTAAAGTGAGAGATATTGTAAAATTTATGGTAGCAGGAAGTATTATAATAAATCTCATTTACTTAGCTTGTCATATGTAGATCTATTTTTTGTATTTGCCTTTTAGTAGTATTTTTGATAAATTATAATCCAGTTTTGTCAATATTAAATATTTTTAGATTTTTAAAACTTCTTGTTTTGTTTTTCTGTCGTTTTACATGCTGTATCTCGACATGGAGCCAAAAGTCTAGTGGTGGTCCCCAGCTTTTATTTGTAGATAAAATCACATGACATCTCTAGAGGAAGTCAGACGACGAATGCCTGAGATGCTTTGAATGTCAATTACCCGTAGAAACGCCCTTTTCATATTCTGTGATAAATATTAACAACAACATATTTAAACTAGAGTCCTTGAATCTACGTTCGTCTTTTTTTTCCTTCCAGTTTTCACAAAAATGGGCACCACGTCCTCAAATAACAAAATCGTCAACGACACAAGCACCGACATCGTCAGCATTTCTGTATCAGGGTTGGATGGCTTCGATTGTGAAGAGTAATCATCCAAGCAGCAAACAACGCGACTTATCCATAAATGCCAAAGAATCAGTAGAACCTATCGTAAACCTCTTCTCACATGCAAACCATTGTCCTGTGACTGTCACGTTAACTTTCAAAGACGGATCCGAAGACACTTTCCGCACAGATCTAAAATATGCTGTGGGATGTTGCGCACGATTCGACCATAGCCAAAAATCGCACAAAATGTCATACAGACTCGACAATAAGAAGATCATTGAACGGTCGTAAACAATGCCAAACAAAAGAAAAACGAAGAAGCTGACGAGTTGTTGAGGAAAGCTAGAGAGGCGATGAGGCGACGATTGTATGACCAAGCTCTTGACCATAGTTAGGAAAATTAGAAGTGAAGAAAGTGAGGTATACAGTTCGATTGGAGACAGTATTTGCGCAGCAGGTTTAACTATGCAGAGAGCAGAAAACTTACAAGCAGCGGAAGGCAAATTTTCGAAAGCGATGTTTTTCTTCTAATGATCGTTAGAGTCGCTGTATAGTGGAGAGACCCAGCAGAAGATATATCTTTCCGAATTGAAGATAAGTGGAAACAGAAGTGTCACTGAAGCTATGGGACTAAAAGATGAAGCTTCTAAGATGGTCCAGAACGAAGAATATGGAACGACCTTCGATAAATACGAGGTAACTTTGCGCAAACATAAAGAAGCTAAAAGAATATACGTGGAAGACTCCTGATTAAGAGAACAATATTTTTCTGATCCTGTGAAACGTGTAGAACAGCAGATTGAAGAAATCAGTGCTGCAACAACAATTACCAAGGAACGGAAACAGGATCAAGAAGCTACAAAATTGATAGAAATAGCCAAAACAGCAACCAATTGGTATTATCATAGCCTTGACTATCTTGCCGGGCTAAAACACTGACGATCCAAAGTGATGCAATTAAAATCATTAAGAACGAAGAATGTCAAGTCTATTGTCTACTCGGAGAAACTTTATACCAAGAAGGTATGAGCCTGGAGAACGACGGATCATCAAAGAGGGCACAAAAAAATTCGATGAGGCAAAGTCTTGTTTTCAACTATCTGTCAACTTGGACATATTTGGACAAGAGGCGGAAAGTCTCTTTCACAGAACTATGTCTTGGGTCCAAGGAAAAGTTGGGTTGTTTCAAAACAAGCCTCAACAAAATTTGCACATCTCCGAACTGAAGATCAGCGGAAATAACAGCTTCTTTCAAGCGGCGAAGTTAAAAAACCAAGCCGTTGACATGATTAGAACTAGAAATTATCAAATGGCTCTGAATAAATATCCCGCCGCTTTGAGTAAATATCAAGAAGCTAAAAAAAATCCGCGGAAGGTGCTAAGTATCGAAAACAAGATTTCTCGAATTCTTTCACTTATGAGCGAAAAAGAAGTGAAGACTTCAAACAGTTACGAAAGAGCAACGTAAGTATGATTTTGCTTTTAAATGTCTTGAACGCGCTAGAATCTTGGCAAATCAAGTTAGTACAATCGAAATTAACAACGAAGAAAGCGAAGTTTGCAACTTGTATGGAGAAGTATTGTTTAAAGAAGGTGTTAGCTTGGAGGAAGAAGGACACTTCGAAAAGGCACATACAAAATTCGTAAGAGCAAAGTCGGTGTTTCAACAAGCTGGTGAAGAGTTTCAACGACAGGCGCATCTGATCGAAACGATGATCGATAGGAACAGATGTTTGACTCAAGCGTCCAAACTGAAACATGAAGCACTTCAGTTGATCAAAAAGGAAGAATATTTTCTAGCACTAAATAAATTTGACGACGCTTTAAATAAACACGAAGAAGCTAGAGAAGTGGAGAATACTGGACTCTGTCAACATTTTTCAACCAAAGCTATGAAAAAACAAATTGAACAAATCACTCTTGCGATCGAAAACACCAAAAGCAAAGTACTAATACAGAAAGCCAAAGAAGCAGCAAAACAACACTTTTTCGAATTCGCTCTTGAAAAACTCGATCGTGCTAAAGCTTTTGCAAACCAGTCTGAAACAGCTGAATGTATCAAAAGCGAAGAAAGTCACGTTCTTAATTTGTGTGGAGACACGATGTTGGAAGAAGGTTTGCTTTAGGAAAAAGAGGGACACCTGGAAAGAGCACAAGACAAATTTGAAAAAGCAAAGAGTTCGTTCCAGAAAGTTGTGAGCTTGGATGAAAATGAACGCGCTCTATTTACAAAAGTAAAGTGCTGGTTTGCACAAAACATAGGCTTGAGTAACGAAATTCAACAAAAGTTGCGTTTATGCGAGTTGAAAATCAGTGCAAACGGAATTTTTGCTGAAGCTATTGAGCTAAAAAAGGGTCCTGTTGAAATGGTGAAGAGTGAACAATATCAAATGGTTGTGGATAAGTACAATGCAGCTTTGACTCGGTATGAAGAAGCCAAGACACAGTATGTGGAGGGTGAACAATATAAAAAAGAGTATTTTGCTGATTCTGTAGCAATAGTAAACAAACAAATTCAAGAAATTACTCATGTTATGGAAAACGCAATAAAAACTCGAGTCTTAAAATAAATTAAATTTTAAAACTCCCAATCCGTCACAACCAAATCAGCTTTGCATATTAATGAATAAATGCTTCAATTAAACGCACAGTACAGTGGACCATCGTATACATATATTCACTCAATGTGTAGGACACACAGTAAAAAGACAAAAACGGTGGAAAAAGCAAATTTAATTCGTAGTTATTAACAAATTTATATAATTATTTTTAATGAATACTATACTGTTACAATGCAATCTTACTATCAGATTTCCAAAAATTAAATTGTTTTGCACCGATAAACGATTCAAGTCTTATTATAAATACATATTCCGTCATTGTCCCTGATAAAAAAAATAAGTTGTGAGTAAAATACGTATATATTAGATCACCACGTACATTCTTATTTTTAAATCTGAAATGTTTATCGGCTTTCTATTCTTTTCATTGCTACTCAGTTCTTGTTCTTGCCCATGTTGCTCTTCTTAATTTTCTTCCTCATCATTTTCCTCTTCGCGATTTGATTTAATTTGAATAAAAAAAGACGAAAGATAATCGTTAAACATAGGCATGATTATTTTTTAGTTACTCAAATTTACACGACTAATTACACAGCGATTATGTACAAAATAATTCCGGCTCAAATTGATTGAATTCGTTCACTGGACTCGACTCGTTAACTGAATAACTTTCTAGAAGTTCCGCGGTCGAGGTTTTTCTAGAGTACCCGTAGCGTCTTCCGCTTCCAGGCTTTTCTTCTCACCGACGATGAGTCATGAATCATTGCCGTGCATACTGGAAAGCTCTCGACGGCCCATAGGCGTCGTACCGAGGTGACGTATGGGTTTATTTCGTAACACTATGAAGAGCAGCTTAAAATGTGTATTTTTTAACGCATATTCAGTTTCAGATGCAAACTTAAATTTGAATGAGGACTGAATAGGCGGCCATTTTAATCGAGCAAGAGATCGATTAGAAAGAAACATAGATATGATATATAGTAACAACATAATACCTACGTCAATCCAGCTACTTTAATTCAGATTTTTTTTGTTTTTATTAAATTTGTGATATTCAAATTGTTTTAGATTGTATAATGATAAGACCAGCGAACTTGTAGGATAAAAGTATATTGACAGTAATAAGTGCAGGTATATACAAAAAAGATTTAGAGAACATGTTTTAGATTGTATAATGATAAGACCAGCGAACTTGTAGGATAAAAGTATATTGACAGTAATAAGTGCAGGTATATACAAAAAAGATTTAGAGAATATGTGACCTCACGGTCGAGAAGTATTTGAGTCAGTCACTCTGTGAATATTGAATTCCATTTCCTGGTGGTTCTCACCACCCTTATTTCAAAGTGGGTGGTGGCTCTGGCCCACCCTTGCGGATGGAGGGGACGGAACAGATGTCCCCGCCAGGAGCGCTAACATAACCCCCCGCCTTGAAACAATCACATTGTTTTAAGATAAAAAAAAGGATAAATAAATACGTTACACAAATGCAAAATATATGTACCTATACATGAAAGGTAAAATAAAAAAGCAAGAAATATTCATATGTAACCGTAACTAGTTCGAAAGATCACCACCACAGTCTTTAAGTTTAGCGTAATTAGTCTATTGGTAAAGCGCACACTTTCGAAATTGCTCTTTTTATCGAGCCACTTTTGCATTTCACCGACACTACCCGCACGTTCCCATCACTGCCGGGGTGCAATTGAGTAATTCTACCCAACTGCCATTGCAACGGTGGTAAATTGTCTTCTTTTAGCACTACTAAGGTGCCAACTTCCGGAATTCTTGCAGAGGTGGTTCGCCACTTGCTCCGATTTTGCAACGTGGCCAGGTACTCCGTCGACCATCGTCTCCAAAAATGCTGGCGACAAGCCTCTATCAATTGCCAGCGAGACAATCGGTTGATGGGAATGGTGGTGTGGTCCCTCTCCATGGGGGCGGTTAAAGGGTGCCCGATTAAAAAATGGCCGGGCGTAAGAGGTGTCATATCGTTGGCATCGTTCGACAGTGGCGTCACTGGACGCGAATTCAAAACGGCCTCAATTCTTACTAACAAGGTGTGCATTTCCTCGTATGTAAGATGATTTTCACCGATAACGCGTTTAATATGGGTCTTAACAGATTTGATTCCCGCTTCCCAAAGCCCACCAAAATTTGGAGCTCGAGGGGGTATAAACTTCCAGATTATTTTTTCCTGTTCTAACCTATTTTGGAAATCTTTGGCTAGTAATAATCGCTTCAGTTCTTTTTTCGCGCCCACAAAATTGGTGGCATTGTCGCTTAGAATGTAGGCAACGTTGCCGCGGCGCGAAATTAGTCGTTTTAGCGCATTGAAAAAGGAATCAGATGTCAGGTCGCCCACAAGTTCAAGATGAACGGCTTTAGTACATAAACAAATGAAAAGACAGATGTAAGACTTGACCGTCCGCTTTCCTCTACCTCGGCCTTCTTTAATTAGAATGGGACCTCCGAAGTCTACTCCAACTTTAGAAAAAG